ATACCCAGAAATTATGTTCTATCCAAAAAAATAATCCTTGGGGTGTTATGTAAAAAAAAAATAAGTGATGAGCTGCTTAAGACACTTATAATTGGAAAGATAGAATCAGCCAATATGAAATATTTTGGAATATGTTAAACACAAAAAAGGTTATTCTTCAATAGTTATGTTTAATAAGAAGACATTTAATGCTTTGAAATCCTGAAAATATAGGAAAAAAAAACTTAAAACAAAAAAATCCAAAACAAAATGAAAACTAAACCAACAAAAACTTTTCAAAGAGTCTCTTCAGCAAAGGAAGTTTTTTTTTCAAAGAATTACTGAATATTTGATGTCTTATGACAGCTGAACAAGATAGATTTTATAAAATATTGGTAGCAAATATGAGACAACATTACTGGCTTTCTGACAATGATGATAAAGTGATCAATTATGGTAAATGTTAACAATTGTGATGATTCACACTTTTCCTAGGTTCAAATTCACTAGGGATTTCAGAACATATTCAAAACATCATACTTCCATATGAAGTCCTCATGTGGTATAAGCCAAGAAGACAGATCTCTATAACAAAGAAAGTGGCACCAAACCATGCCAGAGATCTGCAGAAAGGAAGAATCTAAACACACTTAGGTATGTTTAATGTTTAATACTGCAGCCTGTGGAAGACCCCACACTGGAGCAGGTGGATGTGCCCCTGAAGGACCTGTGGACCCGTGGGAATTCTGTGCTGGAGCAGATTCCTGATGGGTCCTGTGGACCCATGGAGAGAGAGGATCCCATGTTGGAGCAGGTTTGCTGGCAGGACTGCTGACCCCATGGGGGACCCACACTGGATGAGTTTCTTCCTGAAGGACTACACCCATGTTGGAGTCCATGAAGGACAGTCTCCTGTGGGAGGGACCCCAAACTGGAGCAGAGCAAAAGCGTGAGGAGTCGTCGCCGAGGAGGAAGGAGTGGTAGTTTCAATGTGTGATGAACTGACCACAACTCTTCTTCCCCATAGCCCTGTGTCACTAAGGGGAAGGAGGTAGAGAAAATCAGGAGTGAAGTTGAGCCCAGGGAGGAGTCAGGGGTGCGGCAAAGGTGTTTTAAGATTCAGTTTTATTTCTGATTAGCCTTCTCTGATTTCATTGGTGATAAACTAAATCAATTTTTTCCAAGTGGAGTCTGGTTTGCCCATGGCAGCAATCAGTGAATGACCCCTCCCTGCCCTTATCTTTACCCACAAACCTTTAGTTCTATTTTCTTTCTCCTGTCCAGTTGAGGAGGGGAGCGACAGAGCTGCTTTGGTGGGCACCTGGAGTCCCCCAGACCTTCTCTTTTCCAGGCTGAAGTCTCTCTGCCTTTCCTCATAGGAGAGGTGTTCCATCCCTCGGATCATTCTGGTGGCCTTTGGATCTGCTCCAACAGGTCCATGTCCTTCTTGTGCTGATGGCTCCAGAGCTGGAAGCAGCAGTCCAGGTGGGATCTCACCAAAGCAGAGTAGAGGGGCAGAATCACCTCTCTCAACCTGCTGGCCACGCTTCTCTTGATGCAGCCTAGGATACAACTGTGAACACACAGTTCTGGCTCTTGTCCAGCTTTTCATTCACCAGTACCTCCAAGTCCTTCTCTACTCTCAATCCCTTCACCTCCCAGCCTGTATTGGTACTGGAGGTTGCCCCAACCCAGGTGCAGAACCTTGCACTTGAGCTTGTTGAGCCTCATGAAGTTCACACAGGCTCACTTCTGAAGTTTGTCCAGGTCCCTCTAGATGGCATCCCTTCACTCAGGCATGTAAACTGCACCACTCAGTTTGGTGTAATCTGAAAACTTGCTGAGGGTGCACTTGATTCCACTGCCTATGTCATTGTTGAAGATATTAAACAGTACTGGTCCCAATACAGACCACTGAGGGACACCACTTGTCACTGATCTCCATCCAGACATTGAACTATTGACCAGTATGCTCTGGATGCAACCATCCAGCCAATTCTTCATCCAATAAACAGTCCACCCATTAAATACTTATCTCGCCAATTTAGGGAGAAGGACGTTGTGGGGGACAGTGTCAAAGGTCTTACAGAAGTCCAGACAAATGACATCCATAGCTCTTCCCTTGTCCACTGACGTAGTCGCTCCACTATAGAAGGTCACTAAGCTGGTCAGGGAGGGAATTGCCCTTGGTGAAGCCATGTTGGCTGTCTCGAATCACCTCCCTGTCCTCCAAGTACCTTAGCATAGCTTCTAGGAGGATGTGTTCCATGATCTTCCCAAGCACAGAGGGGAGGCTGACAGGTTGGTAGTTCCCGGGGTCGTCCTTTCTACCCTCTTTAACAATGGGTGCAATGTTTCCCATCTTGCAGTCACCAAGGACTTCACATGACTGCCATGAATTTTCAAATGTCATGGAGAGTGGCTTGGCAACTACATTAGCCAATTCCCTCAGGACTCTGGGACGTACCTCATCAGGTCCCATAGACTTCTACATGTCCTCAGGTGGTCACGAACCTGATCTTCTCTTACAGTGGGAGGGATTTTGCTCCCCCATCCTTGTGTTATAGTCCATCCACTCAAGAGGTGTGGGAGGTTTTTTCTTTTCTTTTTTCCTTTCCAGAAGCAGTAGAAAAACTGAAATACTGGGGTACTGCAAAAACTGAAAAGTGATAAAAAATAAAATCCTTGTTTAGTGTACTGAAATTTTGTACGGCAAAGTTCATTCCAGTACATGGATTATTAAAGTTTTCATACAGTTAGAATTTCCAAGGCTAAAAAGAACTTTTATGGTCACTGAACGCAGACTGCTGACTCATGTCTAGTAATTTTTTATCAAGTCCTTCTAATAATATCTGTCTCAGCTACTGTATATCCTGATCTAAAAATCTTCAAATAATACAGATTTTACTGCTTCACAAATAACCTGTTTCACTGATTAGAATATTAGGTCTAATTGAGCTGATGTTATTGAATTTTTTTTATCTTTATGTCCTGGTTTCAGCTGGGACAGGGGTTAATTTTATTCCTAGGAGCTACTATAGGGCTGTGTTTTCGATTTGGGATGAGAATAATGTGGATAACACACTGACGTTTTAGTTCTTGCTAAGCAGTACTTACACTAAGCCAGGGACTTTTCAGGTTCTCATACTGCCCTGCCAGTGAGGAGGCTGGGGGTGCACAAGAAGCTGGGAGGGGATTCAGCCAGGACAGCTGACCCCAACTTTCCAAAGGGATATCCCATACCACGTGACATCATACTGAACCTATAAACTTGACGGAGCTGGCCTGGGGGTGGCTGCTGCTCAGGGATTGGCTGGGCATCAGTCAGCAGGTGTGAAAAATTGCATTGTGCATCACTTGGTTTGTTTTTTCTTATTAATATTAATATTAGTATTAGTATTAGTATTAGTATTAGTATATAGTCCTTTTCTGTCCTATTAAACTGTCTTTATCTCAGCTCATCGCTTTTACCATTTTTCTGATTCTTCCCCCATCGTTTTATGGGGGCAGTGAGCGAATGGCTGTGTGGTGTTTAGCTGCCTGACGGGTTAAAGCACGAGACTTCTAGTAGAGTTGCTATGTTCTATTCTTCTAGATTAAAGGCCAGTACACCGTCAGCAGTCTTTGGTTCTTTTGGGTTCTTGTAGACATTGACCAAGTCATTTCTACATAAAGTAAAAGTCTTAGTTTCTTGTTGTGAAACATGGCTACATTCACTTCAAATTATTGCTATAATTCCTTTATCTATAACCTCCCATTTCTCAAGACCTCGTATCCCATATCAGTCTCTTTAATTTAATGTACAGAAGTAATACAACCTCAAAATTCCTACTTTGTACTTTCATGTAAGAGGATTTAAAATATAATTCATAAATTGTGTTTGCCTCCAGTGTTACAGCATCAAAGATCAAATGGTCAGCTATTTATCAACCATGAATGTAAGTCCTTTTTCATACTTTCTATTTGGTAGCAGTCACCTTAAATATATCTTTAAGTAAGAGCTATACTTAAAAATTAGGCCACCTGCCAATATCAGTTTAATTCTAAGTAATATGATGCTGATGCATATATTTGTGATAATGTGTAATTCAACATAGTAATCTGAGTGTTGTCCTTATTCTGAAGATAATCTCCATATCCCAAAAAAAACCAATAAAAACATTGAATTGTTGAACATACTTAACCAAAATTATGTGACTTTCTTAATTTGTAGGTTATGACTTACTGGTTTTACTGTAAACAGAAAAAAAAAATAATCCAGTTCTGCAGCACCTTAATGGAGGTACACATTTTCATGAGATTGTCACTAATTTGTCCCAGTAAGTAGCTACACAAATAAAATGGAAAGTCTCAGGTTTTGTTTTTTTCTGAATAATAATAACAATTTTCTCTTTCAGGTTAGTCTAAATTGTAAGGTAGCTCTTACAAGAAGATTTCTTTTTAGATTCAGCTAGCACAAGTCTCTAGAGAATCACTTCTTCAATGTAGCGTGGACTACCCCTTAAGAAAAGCACAGAGTATCCAGGGAATGTCACTGTAAATACAATTTTCTGTATGGGGCAGCTGCAAATAACATGTTTCTTTTCACGAATACAGCAATATTTATTTTTTTTTTTTACTCAAAATACCTGAAATAAAAGTGTCTTAGATCGGCTATTGACATTGGTCACTGCGTCCCCCACCCACTCGGCCCATCCCAATTTGTATGGTTTCAGAAATTGCTTTAGTAAACCGTTTGTTCTTTCCACGATCCCATTTGCTTGCGGGTAGTACGGTGTGTGGAACACCCATGAAATTCCCTCCTGGGCCGCCCATTCTTGAACTATTTTAGCTGTGAAGTGTGAACTATTGTCCGATTGAATTGATTGCCGTTTAGGGAAGGTCCGAAACCATTCTTTCAGGGCACAGTATTCCCCCCTGTCGCCTTGGCAGATGCTTTGGCCTGTACTAGTCCAGACACTATTTCAACACCCACCAGTATGAAACATTTTCCCTCTGATTTTTGAAACAGACCAATGTAATCAACCCGCCAGGCCTCTCACAAACCCTTTCCTTCTCTTAAGTGCAGGGGGCCATTTTCCAGGGGGTGTCTGCCCAAACGAACACAACACTGTTCACAAGAGGATATACATGTTTTGCATTCCTCCCTGGTAATTGGCCACCCTCGAGCCTGCGCCTCACGAAATAAATCATTTATCCCTGAATGTTTTCGTTTTATATGCAGCCGTTCTAATGAATGCTCCCAATTTTCTGTTATTTGGGTGCTCTGCAGAGGAGCTAGTCGAGCTAGTTCGTCCACTTCATCATTCCATTGGTTCACTGGGGTGTCACTTTGTTGGTGGGATGCAACCCATGCCACTGCAAACTTCCCACATTTA